GATATACCTCTGAAATTAAATATATATATAAAATATACAGAATTAAAAGGATATATAGACAAATTCATAGGTAGATTTCTTTTAACTACATTTTTCTGACAGGTAGAATAAGAATACAAAAAAAATAATAAATAAATAAGGACATAAAAGACTTGAACTAGATTAAGAAACATGACCTGATTAATTTAAAAGATAGTATACATAATTACTACAGAAGGCCTATTCTTTCAAGAAGAACATGGACTATTGCAAACACTGACCATACACCCGGCCCACCAAGCACATGCTCACAAATTTCAAAGGATTGAAGTCATTTAAAGTACATTCTCTGACCATTGTGTAATATAGATACAAATTAATTGTTAAGAAATAAACAAAAAAATCCAAAATATTGGATGGATTTTAAGCAAAATACTTCCAAACATCCATGAATATAAGAAGAAATCACAATATAAACTAGTAATGTATTGAAATTAATAATAATGAAAGACTACATGCAAAATAGCTGGGGTACAGAATATAACTTGTGGGACACAGCTACTGCAACATATTGACAAACATGTACAGATTTAAATGCATACACTAGAAGAAAAGAAACACTTATTTATCCTCTCATTCCAGTTATGTACAGTTCATCCTAGTGTCCTTCTTATTCCCATCCTCCTTCTCTTCCTTTCATTCCCTTTTGTCTAATCTATGCTTTCATATTAAGGTGCCTAGGGGAAGATGCAAATTAAACCCAAAAGGTGTAGAAAGAAGAACAGAATTTCTTAAATTGCAGAAAATTACTATACATAGAGAAAATTAACAAATTTCAAATTTTGATTTTCAAAAAAAACTAATAAAGATTGATGAACTTTCAACAAAACTGATCAAGAAAACACATGAACAATGTCAAAAATAAAAACTATCCGAACAGGAAAAATGGAATTGGAGAATATCACGAACAACTTTATACCAAAACATTTTTAAAATGTAGAAAAATCAGAAAAACCCATTCAAAAACAATGTATTAAAACTAATACAGAAAAAATATAGAATATGAATAGTAGTCTATTAAAGAAATTAAACTTCTAATACAAATATTCCCAAAATATAAATTTTTAGGACCAGATGGCTTCATCAATGAATTCTTCCTAAAATTTAAGGAAGAAATAACACGGGTCTATCACAAACTTATTCAGGAATTAAAAATAGAAGGAAAACCCCTCAACTTCATAAAATCGGCATAATTTTGATACTAAGGACATTACAAAAAAGAAACACCATGGTGTAATCTGTCTTATAAAAACATACATTAAAAAAATCCTTTACAAGTACTAGAAAATTTATTCCAGAAGTATATGTAAAACATTAATGCACCAATACAAATGATATTTTAATGCAAAGTTGGTTTGACATTTGGAAATCACTGAACATAATTCAATATATTATAAAATAAGAAAAACTCTATGATCATGTCAATAGAGTAAAAGCATGTAATTCTGCATCTATTCAAAATAAAAATGTTAGCTAATTTTTAATAAAGTATAAGTTTCTTACTTTGATTTTGTTGAAGTTATCTGAAAATCCTGAGATCAAGAATGAGACAAAAATGGGTAGTATTACCATTTTCTCAACATTGTGTCAAAGACCCTATACAATGCAATGAGATAAATAAGTAAAATGTTAAAGGAAGAAATAAATTGTCATTATTTGCAAATGATATGGCTTTTGCATAAAAATATGTACAGATAAAATTTATAAGTAAATCTACTAAAGGCATTGATATGGGGTTGTTTATCTTCTTGTTATTATACTAGAAAATATTTTTAAAATAAAATTTATAAATTATTTTATTTATCCTCTCATTCCAAAATGGCATTAGGAATAAATCTAAATAAAGGGATGCATGACCTCTGCAAAGAAATCTACAAACCATTACTGAAAGAATTAAAAAGACATAAATCAAAGCTGGAATATATCATAATTATGGATTAGAAGACTCGACAGTATTAAGGATTTTTTGGAAGTTGACAACTGATTCTAAAATTTATATGGAAACACAAAGAGTCAAGAAATGTAAAGAAAGTTTTGAATAAGAAAACAAAATTAGAAGATCAGAACTATGAGATATTAAGACTTATAAATTTACAGAAAATAAGCAATGTGATATTAAGATAAAGAAAGACAAATATGACACCAAGAGAATACAGAATAGAGAGGCAAAGACACTCATACACACATTCCAGGCTCATTTCAATAAGTGCTACTGGATCCTTGGGAAAAAAATCTGAAATTTTACCTCTCTGACATATTATTCCTAAAATTAACATCAGATGGATCAAAGACCTGATCTGTTGTAAGGAAAAAACCATATTATTTTGAATATTAATTGCAGATTATCTTACTGACCATGAGACAAGCAGAAAATTCTTAAATAGTACTGTAATAACTGAAACCATAAAAGAATAGATTGACGGATTGGACTTTATTAAAATTAAAACCTTCTACAACTTATTAAGAAAAAATAAGATGTGGGAGTATAGGTTGGTGGTAGAGGTAACATGTGTGAGTCCCTGGGTTTCATCGCTAGCATCATGAAGAAAAGGAAAACTCAACTTTTGATAAATAGGTAAAAGACTTAACAGGCACTTACATACATGTGTGCGTGCACACACACACCCCTGAGCTTGCTCTCTTCCCTGTTTTCTCTTACACACACTTACATGCATGCACATGATATTCAAATTAAGTACAAGTACAAATGGGAACACATGTGGAGGATAGGACTACTCAAATTACTTTTTTCACAGTTCCCTTGGTTCAGTCTTCAGGGGGAGGGCTGCTGTGTGTTTTTGAGTTAGAATTGAACAATCTTGTCTGCAGGGGAGAAGGCAGCACAGGGGGAGATGTGTCCTTCTGAAGCTACACGTATATATTGAGTCACTTCAGGGAAGTGATGTCCTCTTTTCAAATCCCATCACAGTACTCTCCATTGGCACTTCTCTGCCCTGTGCCTAGGTTCAAGGAAATGTAGTGATATGAAAGAAGTAGAGGCAAAAGTCACACCCCTGTGGGGATTAGTCCTGCCTCTGCCATTGGCTGTCAAGGTGATGTTTGGTAAGTTACTACATCTCTCTGAGCCTTAGTCTTCCCATGTAAGATATTGGGTCAAAATTTATTTCAAAGGTAGTTTCAGAGAAAATGAGATTATAAATGTGAAAATGCCCAGCACAGATTCTACTACATGGAGTTTTAAATGTAGAGGTGTAGAGAGAGAGAACTTCCTGCAGCTGGTAATACTATTCGCACTCTTTTTTTGCATGACTCATGCAATGTAAGGTCACTACAGTGTACCTTTTTCTACTTATTAAGAACAATGAATCCATGCCCTCCAAAGATTATAATTTACTCTTGCAAGTATTTGTGTGTCAATCTGTACATTAGAATGCATTAATTAGTATCTATGTGGTTCTCTTATACATTAATAATTACAGAGATGATGAAAACATATTATTGGAGGGGGAAGTATGAAACAATCAATAGAAGTAATAAACACAAGTATTCTAGGTATTCTACAGTTATAAAAGACCAAACATATCAAATCATAATAAATTATCTTTTTTTTTTTTAAAAAAAAAGGACCTTGATAAAAGACCTGTGGGATGGATCAGAGTAAGGCAAGCCATGAAATTGGCTTTGACTCACAAGACAGCACTATACTGAGGAGCAAAGTGAAAGTCAGAAACTAACTCTGGCTTAAATTCAGAGTTTCACACTGGCTTACTTTGAGCCAGACCCCCTATGACCTACATTTTTACATCTTCACAAAACAAGGTCCCTGCATGGAATTTTCCTTCTCATATTATGGCCTGGAAATTGTTATGCATTTTTTGAAATCACAAACTCATTTCATTAAAAATACTTGTGAATTCCTTAATATGTATCTACACTAGATATCAGGGATAAAATGGTGCACAAAATCAAACCATGACCTCATTCTCATGTGCTCAGCCTGTGCACTAATGTCCCTGTAAAACTTGCCTGAGCTGCTTCCTCCCCTGTCCTTGAAGCTCTGGGTGCACACATGGTATTGAAGAGCAATCTGTGTGTTTACTGGGCTGTTACTCCAACCTGGGAGGGGGCTCCACAGAGGAAGGATTAGGTCTATTCATTCTTTCTCCCCCAGTGCACAGCTCAGGATCTGACACATAGTGGGCACTCAATAAATGTTTGTTGGATGGAATCATGCATTATTCATGAGGTCTTGACACATTCAAATCCGTTAAATRAATCTATTTAAGAATATTAAAGAAATGAAAACAATTATATTCAGGAAAATTACATCTTTTTGAAACAGTCTTTGTTTTTCTTATTTTATTAGCATTTTATTAACAGCCCTAGCAGCTGCTTTAAAAATGCCCATATGCTCATAATGTTAGTGGTTTCTAAAAAAATGCATAGTATTAATGTAGTTGAAATGATACATGGTCGGCCTTTTCCTGGGAAAAAATAAAATGAGCTTCCATTTAATTGGAAATAGCTTTGTATATAAATGAGTTAATATGCCAGGGGATCTGTCTTTTCTAAAACAATCAACAATGGTTCATCCAGAGATGGAAAGTGATAGAAAACATTAATAGAATTTGACTTCATGACACCAAAGTTTGGCACATCCTACAAACAAAGGTAACATCTTTTACTTAAACCATTTAGTATAGATCTAAAAGTTTTCTCAAGATCATAAAAGGTACTGAGTTATATTTGAAAAAAAAATGAAAAAATGAAATGGCCATTATTTGTGCCAAAAAAAAGGTGTGGTGGGGGGAGAAGAAGTCATTCTTCAGGTAATACAAGGAGATTTTGTAAACTTAAGTAGCACAAACATCAAGGGAACTTTGGAGATGAAGCCATACAATTTCCATCTGCTTATCTTGAAGCAAATAACATGTTTAGCCTTTAGTCATCTTGTAAAAACTTCCTTAGAAAAGGTTAAAAAAGTGAAAGTATGAAAGTACCTACTTGGTCTGGTGTTTAGATCCTTTCAGGTGGGCATGATACTGTTCTATTGAATTTAGGGAGACACTGCAGATGGTACATCTGTAATTGCGCCTCAGACCTGTGGACAACAGACAGACCTGGTTAGCTCCATCTGGATCAACCACCTGAATGAATTCTAGAACATTGAAAAGTTCAAGGACAGAGGACTTCCTAGTTCATACCACCCACTGCACTTCCATCCCTCCTTCTGGATCCCAGCCAGCAGATCCCTTAGTAGAAGTGTGAGTCTGGATATATTAGAAGCAGCCTACCCCATTTTGAGATGACTGAAATTATGGAGACTTGGTTCTGTGAATTGAAGCAAAGTGTTTCTAGACATTCTATAATTCAAAAAAGCATTCTGTTTTTCCCCCTAAGTTATACTGATAGTTGGTTGTCATCTCTGAAGTAAAATTTGAAACATAAAAAAAACAAATAAACAACAACAAAATTCTCTTTCCCATTCCTTTTCTACCTTTCTTCCATTGGCAGAATAGGAAATACAATTTTAGACATCATTCATTTAGTTTTCCCTTCCATCATACAAGATGGAAATACCCAGGAGAAGGATAAAACATCAATCTGTTTCACACAAGTATGCCTTTCCAACAGAGAGTTTAAAAAACAGTTTACTTCATTAATAACAGTATCAACTATGGGCCAGGCACTAGGGATTCCAAGATGAAGAAGATAACTTTTTGCTTTCAAGGAGTTCAGCAAATTTCATAACTATTTTGTAGTATTGACTCATCTTGAGACAAACTTGTGTTACAAACAGCTTTTACTAAATAACTTTAAACATCTGCCACAGCTCAGAGACCCACACTGGAACACTTTCCTTCTGCTAGTATGTCCCTTCAGAGTAGAGAGAAAAGAAAAGTTGGTCATGATCTGAAACTTTGGATTATATCATAGCTCAAATATCCCCGGTTGTGCAACCCACAGAAAGTARCATAACTTCTTCCTAGCCTCAATTTCCTCATCTACAAGTTGAAGACAAGCCCAACTACTTCACAATGCTGTAGTAAGAACTAAGAGAATAAAATGTTTAGCAAGTAAGAGTTATTAATATTGATTTTGCCATAAAATTCTGGTTTTCCTATTGTAAAACCAAAGACATTAAACAACTGCAGTGTTTCTTTCTAATTAATGCATAGTATTTTTTTTTCTAAGAGGCAAAGCTATTCCCTATTTCCCTAAGAAAATAATGCGTAATGGTTGAAAGATCTTTGCAACTTGTTACCTGGATCACTTTAAGCAACTTATTTGACTTCTGTAAACTTCTGTTTCCTTTTAATGTTGGACTGAGTGACATATTAAATGTGTATGGGAGGGAGAGCCTGGTATGTAACATATGATCAATATAAGTTAGTTATGATTATGATTTTGGATAGATATCAAAATGGAATCCCTTATGTCTCAGGGATTTGACATCTTGCCCTGAAGTCTTGAGACAGATAGCAAGTGCACCCCCATTACCAAAGTGAAAGAAGAGACCCCAGGGCAGTTGGGACATTCAAGGCAAGTGGGCAAGAACCAGTGTCACACCACAAAGTGACCACTCAATGCTGGTCTACAAGGGAGTGAAGAAGAAATCAGAAGTGTCTTTCTGAAGAGGGAGCTATATTGTCCTGGAAGTTCCATCTTCCCTTCTCCACAGGAGAGCACTGTGTATTTCTCCCCCACTTCAAGCCTATCGGAGATGTCTTAATAATGTTACCTAGTGAGCTTGAAGAGTATCTTCTTGCATTTGGAAGCTATGAACTGGAATCTGCACTGGCAAGACCCAAAGTACTAGTGACTGTGACTCATTATCAACTCTGATGGAAAAGTACAAGAGGTGGCAGGACTGGATATGGCGTGTCTTATCAGAGCTTGTCAGACCAAATTAGTATTTTCTACAAACTATGTGTAGACTATACATAAGAGCAGCTGATTTAGTAATGTCTTAGATAATACACAAGAGGGTATTACTGAGTTATAGAAGTTGAGGGCAAAGAGACCTCCATAGAAAGTGTTCATCTAGGTACTTAATGTGGCCTCAGAGGAGATATTTAGCTGATATTAAGTAATGGTGAGTCCCTGATAAAGCCCAAGAGAAGAATCAGTTTGTAGTCCCTTCCATTCAAAGAGCATCTAAGCTAGCTTTGTATAGAAGCCATCAAGCTAGCTTTCATTTGCCATGTCTTTTGAATTCTTCACCCTGCAWCTCTCAGCCCTAGAGAAACGAGAGGAAATCTACTGAAGGGGAAAAAAAATGAAGTCCTAGAAGACAAGCAAAACTCCAGGCAGAGAAAAAGAGAAAAAACCTAGCATATTTTCTTTCTGACAGCAAGCAAGTAGCCCTAAGTACAGAGCTGGAAGAGGGGGATACCTGGCTTCTAAAACTTTGGGGGATATTTTTAAAATATTGCTCTATCCTGAGTATATTAATAACTATCAATGAGGAGCAAAGGACTCTCTATGACATGAAAGTGGAAGTTCATGACATGTCCTAATTTTATTACAAAGGGTAGGGACAAAAGGACCCATTCTCTAGGCTCTCTGCTCATCTCATTGATTGTTTCGTTGGCTGAGAAAAAGCTTTGTCGTTTGAATCCATCCCATTTATTGATGGTTTTAATTCTTGTGCTACAGGAGTTTTATTAAGAAAGTTGGGGCCTAAACCAACATGATGGAGATTTGGGCCTACTTTTTCTTCCATTAGGTACAAGGTCTCTGGTTTAATTCCTAGGTCCTTGATCCACTTTGAGTCGAGTTTTGTGCATGGTGAGAGATAGAGGTTTAATTTCATTTTGTTACATGTGAATTGCCAGTTTTCCCAATGTACGATTTTGGTGCCTTTGTCTTATATAAGATAACTGAAGTTATATGGGTTAGACTCTGTGTCCTCTATTCTGCACCATTGGTCTACAGGTCTAGGATATACAATCAATCAACATATGAAAAAATGTTCAACATATGAAAAAATGTTCAACATCCCTAGCAATTAGAGAAATTCAAATCAAAACTACTCTAAGATTTCATGTCACTTCAGTCATAATAGCAGCTATTAAGAATACAAACAACAATAAGTGTTGGCAAAGATGTGGGGAAAAAGGCACAGTCATATATTGCTGGTGGGACTGCAAATTGGTACAGCCAATCTGGAAAGCAATATGGAGATTCCTTGGAAACCTGGGAAAGGAACCACCATTTGAACCAGCTAWCCCTCTCCTTAGTCTATACCCAAAGGACTTAAAAACAGCATACTACAGGGACACAGCAACATCAATGTTTATAGCAGCACAATTCACAATAGCTAAACTATGGAACCAATYTAGAAGCCCTTCAGTAGATGAATGGATAGGGAAACTCTGGTATATATACACAATGGAATATTACTCAGAAATAAAAGAAAATAAAATCATGGCATTTTCAGATAAATGTATGAAGTTGGAGAACATAATGCTAAGTGAAGCAAGCCAATCTCTAAAAAACAAAACCCGAATGTCTTCTTTGATATGAGGATGCAGACACATAATGGTGATTTTTGTTGGGAGCATGGGAGGAATGGTGGAACTTTATATAGGATAAAGGAGAGGGAGCGGAAAGAGGTAGGAATGATGGTGGGATGAGTTAGACATCATTACCCTAAGTATATGTATAAGACATAAATGTGTGAAAATACTCTGTGTACAATCAGTGTCTCAAAAAATTATGCTCTATATGTGTAATATGAAATGAATTGCATTCTGCCATCATGTGTAACAAATCAGAAGAAACTTTAAATATATATATTTTTAAAAAGAAGTGAAGGCAGAGCTCCTTCTCACAAGATAGTTCTAGTCAATATATTTAGAAGACAAAATGATTAAATTACCATTTAAAAAAAACACAAAAAACAAAAACAAACCCTGCAAACACAATTTGAATGGTCAGAGGAGGATAAAAATGAAGTTCCCTTCTGATGACATCACATCCAACATGTCCTGCTTACTGAAAGTAGCAGTCATCAGACTTGCTTTTATGTCCACAATTGAACAAAGAACAGAGCTTTCTGGGGTCCTTCACACTTTTATGTTCTGATGCACATTTCAGGGAAATCTATGTGCAATGTCCTGTGTAAGCTGGGTTGGTTAGTTTGAGGACTGTTCATTTCAATCACAAGCTGACTTATCTAATTGTTCCATTAAGAGCCAATTTAAAGGGGTTGGAGATGAAGCTAAGTGGCAGAGTGCTTGTCTAACATGTACAAGGCCCTAGGTTTAATCCATAGCACTTAAAAAAAAGAGAGTCAATTTAATTATGGAAGAAAAAAGGATAAAGCAACAAAACTACAAATATCCAGGATCTTCTCTGGAAAGTCTAAGAAACCCAAAACTTCTTGGGCATGGCTTCCAAGCTCAGAAACATAATAGACAACTGTCAAATCTTTACTTGCTAAAGAAATGACTCTTCAGTTGAGTGCAGATACGTCCTCCAGTGATAGTGCTAACCTTCAGATTCCCAGGCAAAACTTGTAGACATGCCAATTCTATAAGTTTTGGATGGACCCTGGAAATGTATATAATCCTCATCCCTACCATGTCCTCACATTTTAAAAAGAACTCCCCCCACATACTTGTACTCCTTTGGGAAACATGAATCCATCACAACAATACTGGGTCTTCAAAAGAAAAAGAAAAGCTATTGTATAAAGAAGAGCTCTGAGCCAGGTACAATGGTTCAGGCCTGTAATTCCAATGACTTAGGAGGCTGAGGCAGGAGGACTGCAAATTTGTTACACAGCTTCAGAAACTTAGCAAGGCCCTAAGCAACTAAGTAAAGCCCTCTCTTAAAATGAAAAATAAAAAAGGGTAGGGATGTAGCTCAGTGGTAAAGTGCCCCTGGGTCCTATCTCCAGTACCAAAAGATAAAAATAAAAAATAAATAAAGAGTGCTACTTACATTGGCTTTCCATTTCACAGGCAAGCATGATTCAGAAAGATTATCACAGTCCCCAAACCCAGAGGCTGTAAGTTATCACAACCAATGTAGAAGTTGTCTGAAAGCTTATCTGGGGCTGATCCATTCTGCTCTTTTATGCATAGAATCAAA